CCCCCACGCGGGTCGCGATGTTTATTTGACAGAGGCCGCCCCGGGCCGCATGCCCAGTTGCGACCCCTATTAACTGGGGTCAATTAGCCGGAACCCCGGAGGGGAGGGGGGAGTGTGGGGTGTGGTAGGTGGGGGGATGATGCCCGCCCCCACTCTTGCACAACAGGGGCACGGACCCCGCAACCCCACTCACAGCGCCCCCCTCTCCCCTACAGCTCCTACTCATCTCCCTCCTCTCTCCTCGCCCCCCACCCCTCTCACCTCCATCTCGACTGCGGTGAAGGGGAGGTCGGTGGGAGGGGGGGGGGGCGACGGGAGGAGGGTGAATGCAGGGGTAGAGGTGGACGATGTAGGGGAGGGGTGGAGGGTGTAGGGGTGGGGGAGAGGGGGTGGAGGGTGTAGGGGATGTAGGGGAGGGGTGGAGGGTGTAGGGGTGGGGGAGAGGGGGTGGAGGGTGTAGGGGATGTAGGGGAGGGGTGGAGGGTGTAGGGGAGGGAGAGAGGGGGTGGAGGGTGTAGGGGATGTAGGGGAGGGGTGGAGGGGGGAGCTCGCTGGAGCGCGGAGTGATGTGGATGTTAAAAGGTAGCGCCAGGTGCTAATGCGCGGTCACAAGCGATCACGGCTCTCCACTCACACAGCAGCCTGTGGGGGGAAAGTGCTCTTAGGGTGCACCTTTTAAGACCGGGACGCATGTATGTTGAACTTCTTTCGCGCCGTACGTAGCCAAACCGCGCTAATCGGAGGTGCGGGAACGGTACACCAGCGGGTGGGTGGGCAGAGCAGCACGCCCGGCCCCCTTTGTCTCCCCAGTGGTGGTGACAAAGACGAAGATCCCCCCGTATAGCCTGAACACACTGTTGGGGCAAGCGCTGTTAGCGAGCACTTATGAAGGCCGGCACGACACACGAGTGGGTGGGTGGCCAGCACCACGCCCGGCCGCCTTTGTTTCCCTAGTGGCGATGTTTACACACCGCACCAGGTACTAATTTGAGGCCGAGTCGACCTAGGGGAGGCCCAGGACCGGTTCAGATAATCGTCACCGGTGTTGGCCGTGAGCGGAAATCGAACCCGGGTCGCCAGGTTCGTAGCGCAGCGCGCCAACCGCTACACCACCGCTCCCCACAGACACGTGCCCTAAGACATCCAAACACGCACCCTTTACACACACCAAATTGCACACGCCTCTCCCGTCTCTCCTCTGTCCGCCTCCCCCTCTCGCCCGTACATCTTCCAATCTCGCATCTCCCGCATCTCTCCGTCTCTCCCCTCTCCCTTTCCCCGCCCCTCTCCTCCCCTCTCTCCCCTCTTTCTCCCGTCCCTCTGCCCTGACTCTCCCCTCTAGCTCCCATCTCTTTTCTCGCTCACCTCTCCCCCTCCTCTCTCTCTCTCGGCCATCGACTGGCGTCTCGCCCCCCCCCCTCCTGTCTTGGCACTCGCCCCCCTCCCCTTTTCTCTCTCCTGTAGTACTGTATGCTGAACCTCTTTCGTACCGTACGTAGCCAACCGTGCTAATCGGAGGTGCGGGGGACGGGCAACAAACTGCCCCCCCCCAACCCCGTCATTGTAAATAATTAACGAGACGGGGGAGCAGGCAATGGCTGCCGCGGGGCTGAGGGGAGAGAGAGGGAGGCAGGGGTAGGAATACAACAGAAAATGAGAGCGCCGCTATCGCTTGCCGTGTCCACGGGGCGGAGAGTGCGAGGAGTGAATGGCAGGGGAGAGACTCCTCCCTGCACGCTCCCCGCAGACCTCGCGCTCAAGGCACTCCACCGCACTCCCCTGCGCGTCCCAGACACCCTGCGCAAAGAAGGCACTCGGAGCACGCCTCAGACATCAGACTATCAGGGTTGAGCATTGACTCAGCACGGTTCCAGCACGCTTCCAGCACGGAGCCAGCACGGGTCCAGCACGGAGCCAGCACGGAGCCAGCACGGAGCCAGTACGGAGCCAGCACGGAGCCAGCACGGGTCCAGCACGGATCCAGCATTGCGTGCATCCCCAGCGCGGATCCGGCACGGGTGCGATATTGCAGGCGTGCGGCTGACGCGCGAGCCGAGCTACGTCCCGAGTCTCGTGCTGTTCGCTCGATGTGCTGCGTGTCGAACATATTTCGAAAGCGACCGTAAGCCAACCGCGCTAGTCGGAGGTGCGCGCTCTTTCGCTCCATTCCTCGGCCGAGTTTCACTTCCCCCCGAGAATCAATCTCCGCGATTGGCTGGAGGGTTCTCGCTCCCCGCGGCGCGACGAAACCATCCGAAGTGTCTGGGAACATCGTGGCGCTGGGGCGCAGGGCGACTCGCCGACTCCACCACACCGGTGTCCCCCCCCCCCACTCCTAATCCGCGTCGTTCCCGCGGCATCGATTCCACGCAGAATCTCAGACCTCCGAAACGTCGCCAAACTCTCATTGATGGAAGCGGCCAAGAAGCCCAGTGCAAGGACCCCCGTGAAGCGAGGCCGCCCGGGGTGAATGTCACCATAACCTCTATTGCTAGGAGGCAGACGTTACCCAGCTCTCACGGGGGGGGGGGGGGGGGGCACTTTTTACAAACTCCACAACCTCCCCCTCCCCGTCCCCCAGCCCTGTCTGTCGTGCCTGAGCCGCGGGCCACGGATCGAGCAGGAGACCCAAGCGCAAAGGCCTCTCGCGCGAGACGCCGCGACTCCCCCGCGGCAGTGAGGGTCGCCTCGCCCCGCCGCGTCTCCCCCCCCCCCCCCCCCGTGATTGATGGCTCCATTTGGTGCTGGCGGTGAGCTGGGCTTCGGGTACCCCCCCCCCCCCTTCTACTCCTCTCCCATCCCCACTGGCCTCCCCCCCCCCCCCATTTCTCATCCCCCTCTCATCCCTCCACTCTCACCCTCTCATCCCTTCACTCTCCCCTCAGCCTCCACCTTTATCTTCCAGAATCACCCCCCCACCCCGCACCTGCATCTCTCTCCATCTCTCCTCGCTCTCTCGGCCCCAAGCTTCTCCCCCGCCCGTCCCTCCTCCCCAGCGCCGCCTGAGCTGTCTGCAGTCTGCGTCAGCAAATCTGGGCCTCGTGTGAGCTATGGTGCGCGTGGTGCGCATTGTGGTGCAGCGTGGTGCAGTGTGGTGTATTGTGGTGTATTGTGGTGTAGTGTGGTGTAGTGTGGTGCAGTGTGGTGTATTGTGGTGTATTGTGGTGTAGTGTGGTGTAGTGTGGTGTATTGTGGTGCATTGTGGTGCAGTGTGGTGTATTGTGGTGCAGTGTGATGTATCGTGGTGCAGTGTAGTGTATTGTGGTGCAGTGTGGTGCAGTGTGGTGTATCGTGGTGCAATGTGGTGTATTGTGGTGGTGCGGTGTGTCGTGGTGCAGTGTGGTGTATTGTGGTGCAGCGTGGTGTGTCGTGGTGCAGTGTGGTGCATTGTGGTGTATTGTGGTGTAGTGTGGTGTAGTGTGGTGCAGTGTGGTGTATTGTGGTGGTGCCGTGTGTCGTGGTGTAGTGTGGTGTATTGTGGTGCAGTGTGGTGTAGTGTGGTGTATTGTGGTGTAGTGTGGTGTATTGTGGTGTAGTGTGGTGTATTGTGGTGTAGTGTGGTGCAGTGTGGTGTATTGTGGTGCAGTGTGGTGTATTGTGGTGCAGTGTGGTGTATTGTGGTGCAGTGTGGTGTATTGTGGTGTATTGTGGTGCAGTGTAGTGCAGTGTGGTGTAGTGTGGTGTATTGTGGTGTAGTGTGGTGTATTGTGGTGCAGTGTGGTGTATTGTGGTGCAGTGTGGTGTATTGCGGTGTATTGTGGTGCAGTGTGGTGCAGTGTGGTGTAGTGTGGTGTATTGTGGTGCAGTGTGGTGTATTGTGGTGTAGTGTGGTGTATTGTGGTGTATTGTGGTGCAGTGTGGTGCAGTGTGGTGTAGTGTGGTGTATTGTGGTGTAGTGTGGTGTATTGTGGTGCAGGGTGGTGTATTGTGGTTCAGTGCAGTGTTGTGTATTGTGGTGCAGTGTGGTGTATTGTGGTGCAGTGTGGTGCAGTGTGGTGTATTGTGGTGCAGTGTAGTGTATTGTGGTGCAGTGTGGTGCAGTGTGGTGGTGCGGTGTGTCGTGGTGCAGTGTGGTGTATTGTGGTGCAAGTGTGGTGTATTGTGGTGCAGTGTGGTGTATTGTGGTGCAGTGTGGTGTATCGTGGTGCAGTGTGGTGCATTGTGGTGCAGTGTGGTGCATTGTGGTGCAGTGTGGTGTATTGTGGTGTATTGTGGTGCAGTGTTGTGTATTGTGGTGTATTGTGGTGCAGTGCGGTGTATTGTGGTGCAGTGTGGTGTATTGTGGTGCATTGTGGTGTATCGTGGTGCAGTGTGGTGCATTGTGGTGCAGTGTGGTGTATTGTGGTGCAGTGTAGTGTATTGTGGTGCAGTGTGGTGTATCGTGGTGCAGTGTGGTGCATTGTGGTGCAGTGTGGTGCATTGTGGTGCAGTGTGGTGTATTGTGGTGCAGTGTAGTGTATTGTGGTGCAGTGTGGTGTATCGTGGTGCAGTGTGGTGCATTGTGGTGCAGTGTGGTGCATTGTGGTGCAGTGTGGTGTATTGTGGTGTATTGTGGTGCAGTGTTGTGTATTGTGGTGTATTGTGGTGCAGTGCGGTGTATTGTGGTGCAGTGTGGTGTATTGTGGTGCATTGTGGTGTATCGTGGTGCAGTGTTACAGTTTGATGCATTGTGGTGCAGTGTGGTGTATTGTGGTGCAGTTTGGTGTATTGTGGTGTATCGTGGTGCAGTGTGGTGTATTGTGGTGCAGTGTGGTGTATTCTGGTGCAGTTTGGCGTAATGTGGTGTAGTGTGGTGCGGTGCATTGTGGTGCAGTGCGGCGTATTGTGGTGCAGCGTGGTGCGGCGTATTGTGGTGCATTGCGGTACAACGTGGTGCCGTGAATTGTGGTGATGTGGTGCCATGTATTGTGGTGCAATGTGGTGTATTGAGGTGTTACAGTTTGATGCATTGTGGTGCAGAGTGGGAGCAGTGCGGTCCGGTGCAGTTCGGTTAGGCGCACCGTGATACAGTGCGGAGCACGGTGGAGCTGTGATGTCGCTGTCCACGGTGCTGAAACTCCTCCGGCAGTCACCAGCGACTCGTCACCCCTCCTCCCTCCACTCATCCCCAAACTGCCCCCTCTCACCAACCGACTTGAGTCGGGCAACAATCACGCGGCCACTTCCAACTCGGAGGCGCCACCAATGCTGGGAAGCCGCGCCTCAGCTCGGGTTTCAGCGAGAGCGGTATTGATTCAGGGCAGGGTCACTGCGTCTCAAGGCTCCTGATCGCGTGGGCGCTGCGCTACCACTCATGTGCCCCCTCCTGCACCCACACACCCCCTGTCTGTACCCACACACCCCCTCCTGCATCCACACACACCCCCTCACGTACCCATACATCTCCCTTACTGCACCCACATACACATCCTCCTGCACACACACACACACCCTCCTGCACCCATACACCTCCCTTTCGGCACCCACACACACCCATTGCCGGCACCCACACACACCCCCTGCCTCCATTCACACACCCCCTGCCTACACACATGCACCCAGTGCCGGCACCCACACACACCCCCTGCTGCACCCATACATAACCCCTTGCCTGCACGCACACACTCCCTTCGGGACCCATACACACCCACGACTGCACACACGACAACAGCCATAATCCGCCAGTAAGTGGTGGTAACGTTACCAGGGGGCTTGTGCCAGGCTACGTGCACGTTAAAGCCAAGTAAAGTGTGGAAGGCTCACTGCTGGCAGGTCACGGAACAGACCCAGATGCCATTGGTTGATCGACAAGGATGACTGATAGCTGCGCAACCTGTGCTCCCTACTGTGCCAACTTGCTGTCATTTATCCGTCCGGCGCTCTGCTCGTTGTTGTGAGCGTTGCTCTTGAGCCCTCTGCTGCTGCTGGAGGGCGACTGCCTCCAACTGCCCAGTAGCTCTCTTCACGAGCCTCCTCCGTAGAAGCCGATCTTGACAGCGCTGGTACCAGTCTTTGGCAAATCCACTCAGCTCCACAAACCCCTGTACCGCATCAGTCCATCTCTTATCTAGCCCGTGCTGCGCCCGTTTAGCCCCCTCTATCCGACCAAACAGAAGCTGCTCACTGATGGGACTGTGTCCAAATCTCTCAAGGATCTGTGAGCACCTCCGAATAGCACGGTTGGCTACGCACGTTGTGAAAGAAGTACAACATACATCGAATCCAGTCTCTGGCTCTGGTTAAACTCGGGATAGATCAAAGGCAGCCTCTCTCACCCCGCACCCTGCACCACCACCCTGCCCAGCCCCCCCCCCCCCCCCATCTGTAGAGGCGTTGCCCGTGCGTGTGTGTATAGCTGTGTTTGTGCGTGTGCATGTGTGTGTTCACGTGTGTGTGTACACACTAGCAACCCCATCACAATTTCTACACTGTTCACTCACCACACAGAAGGTCACAACAGCATACTCACCCCACCCACCTATCCGTTCACTCGCCAACACATCCACTCACTCACCTACTCGCTCACCCAGTCACTCATCCACTCGCTTTTGCACTCACTCACTCACCCACGCATCCACTCACACATCCACTCACTCACCCACCCACTCTCAGACACACCTACTCATCCACCAATCCACTCACTCACCCACCCACTCACCACACCGCAGGTCACCTCACCGCTCCACTCTGGAGTCCCTCTCCGCCATCAGCGTCTCTCCCCCGAAGCCCGAAACACAATAATAACCGCGCTCACCTCAACACGCGTCTTACACTCTTAACCATTACAAAATTGACGACGCTGTCTGTTACTGGTCGCTTGGCGCTTTGAGCCGTTAGTCTAAAACTTAGCAACTGGAAGAAAAAAAACCATCACGACGAAGATAATGTGGGGGTGAAAGCACCGGAAGTAATTATTATAATAACGCAGGTGTGTGCGTTGATTGGGGTGGTGCTCTCTCGTGGGATACTGGGGCAGATTTCATAATCATGGGGGGCGGCGGGGGTCCGGGACCCCCATAAATCCCGACTGCTGGGGCCTCGATCCGAAATGGAATATGGGATCGCGCGCAATTTATTTATTTGCGAGTCGGGGAAAAAAAGAGACACCGAGGAGGAGGGGGGGGGGGGAGCAACTTCACGCCCCGAGCGACACGCTCCTGCTAATGGCGCTAATGGCGCTAATTGGCTGAAGCGCCGTGCCGCACTCTCCTATGCGGCCAACCGGGGCATGAGAGCACAGCACACAACACCCCCCACACTCTGCATACACACACAATACATCTACACACACAATACATCTACACACACAACACCCCCCACACTCTCCATACACACAATGCATCTACACACACAATACATCTACACACACAATACATCTACACACACACAAAACATCTACACACACAACACCCCCCATACTCTCCATACATACACAATACATCTACACACACTCCACACACACACACTCTCCATACACACAATACATCTACACACACTCCACACACACACACTCTCCATACACACAATACATCTACACACACAACACTCCCCACACTCTCCACACACACACAATACATCTACACACACACAATACATCTACACACACAATACATATACACACACAATACATCTACACACACAACACCCCCACACTCTCTACACACACACAATACATCTACACACACAATACATCTACACACACACAATACATCTACACAGACAACACCCCCCACACTCTCTACACACATACACAATACATCTACACACACTCTCTACACACGATACCCCACAGTACACACCACGCATCTCGGGGGCGATGATGAGAGGAGCTGCTTGATTTCTGCTGCGGGAAGTTTCTGAGCAAACAGTGCGAGCGGTGGTAAGAGGGGCGGGAGGGAGAGGGGGGAGGAAAGGGGGGGGGCAAGGGGGGGGGGCAAGGGGGGGCTCATTTCTCAATCAATAAACGAGAGCAAACAGATCTCATATCCCAGTTCACGGCGACTATTCATCACGTAGCTAACCGAGCTCACCACACCACTCACTCACCTATCCCTCTCCTATCGCTCACCCCGCACCGTCGATCACCTCTTACCATCGCTCACCACTGCTCACCCTCCCACCCCAAACAACGCTCACCCCAGCGCCATCGCTCACCCCACGTCCACCTCTGGGGGGGGGGGGGGTGCTGGAGATGGGGGGGGCTGATGAGGGTAGTGGAGGGGGGGGGAGTTCGGAGCTCCATCTCCTCGCCCCCCCCCCTCTCTCATTCCCCCTCTCTCTCATCTCCCCTCTCACCTCTCCCCCCGGTTCGAAAGCCCCTCCTCAGCAGTTTCTGTTCCCCATAACAAGAGGCAACGCCCCCCGGGGGACAGGCCACGCCCCTCATGAATATTCATCGCCCAATCCGCGCCCCCGCCCCACGTCTCATCAATATTCATGGCTCAGTCCGCCGTCGCAAAGACCCCCCTCCCCACCCACCCACGCTGAAGATATTGAAAAAAAAATCGCGCGCGTGGAGAATAGAGGGTAAACTGGTACCCCCGCCAAGATAAAGATCCCCCGTGTAGCCTCTTGAGGCTGTTGGGGTGAGTGCAGTTAGCGAGTACCAATGACGGGCGGGGATGATGTTACCAGCACCACGCCCGGCCGCCTTTGTTTCCCCCGATGCCGAAGCGCTCGTTTAAGGTAGAGTCGATCTAGCGGAGAAGGATCGGTTCAGATTATTCCGCTGCTGTCGTAGCGCGCTGCGCTAAACCGCGACGCTACCGCTCACAAAAAAATAAGACAAAGACCCCCCCCCTCCGCCCCCCCATATAGCCTTTAACAGACTGTTAGGGCAAGTGCTGTTAGCGAGTAGCACCTATGGAGGCCGGCAAATGCACACGAGGGGGTGGGTGGCCAGCACCACGCCCGGCCGCCTTTGTCTCCCCAGTGGCGATGACTTTTACACACCGCACGAGGTACACATTTGAGGCTGAGTCGACCTAAGGGAGGCCCAGGACCGGTTTAGATAATCGTCATTGGTGTTGACCGTGAGCGGGAATCGAACTCGGGTCGCCAGATTCGCATCGCAGTGCGCAAATCGCTACACTGCCACTACCCACACGCACACAGACACACGCAGACACACACGCAGACACAGACAGAAACACAGACACACACATAACAAAGATATACACAGACCCAACGTCAAAGACACCCATACACACAGACACACACAGAAACACACAACAACAAAGACATCCAGACACATAAAAACACACACAGACACACACAGACGCACACAGACACACACACAACAACAAAAACACACACAGACACACACATACACACACAGACACACACACAACAACAAAGGCACAGACACACGAAGACACACACAGACACGCACACAACAAAGACACACAGACACACAAAGACACACACAAAGACACACACAACAATAACAAAGACATACAGACACACGAAGACACACACAAAGACACACACACAGACACACACAGACACACATACACACACACAGAAACACAGACACACACACAACAAAGATATACACAGACGCAACAACAAAGACACATACAGACACACACAAAGACACACACAACAACAACAAATACACACAGACACACGAAGACACACACAAAGACACACAGACACACACAAAGACACACAAAGACAAAGATATACACAAAGACAAAGATACACACACAGACGCACACAGACGTACGCTCTCCACCGTAGATCTCACGCGCGACCTCATTTGCATTCCGCGTGGCGGCGCGTGTTATTTATTTATCTCTAAATTGTTTATGGGCTGCACTGGTGACATTTTAATTCTGTATTCTTGCTTTTCATTAATTATTAAATAAACACATGCAATGAATAATCAAGTAAATTTACACAGGAAAGAGGTGTGTGTGTGTGGTTTGGGGGGGCTGTACGGGAAGGGATTCAGAATCCGAATATTTATTTACGCTGGGGGAATCCGATGAGCCATAAAGCTCTTTTTCACAGATGTCCAGGATTGGGAGCGGAGGAGGGAGGGGGAATTCTCGACCCCTGACGCAGGACCCCCCCCCCCTCTCGTTTCCCCCGCTGAGGTCAGGGTTCAATCATCCCAACCCCGCACCCCCCTCCACTTCCCCTATCCGCCCCCCCCCCCCCAAACGAGGCATAGGACAGACGCCGATTTCTCATCTACGCCTAACGAGCGGGGGGCGCCATGGGGGGGGGGGGAGTCGCCATGGCAACACCGGCGGCCAAGTGGAGGAACTTCGCGACGG